CAAATTCGCTTGCCTGTGACACCGGAGCAATCCGAACATAACGAATTTTATCTTATCGAATCGGCTGTGTAACACAAAATACGTGCGCCGTGGGGGGCTTTCGAACTTCACATCCAGACCCTCCTTTGTCAACATCGAACTCGACGGCTTTGCAGTGCCAGTGGCATGACGGACTGTGCAAAGAACTCAGTCAGCGTACAGTACTGAGTGTACTACTACTAGTATGTATACTCCATATTCAAGTTCCCATTGGACGGTAATCCGACGCTTAGGAGAACACACTGCCGTATCTGACCTTGCGTCGAGATTGTAAGCTTGAAGATAGATTGATTTACATATATGTGACCGAGCCTGACAGATGACCTTGCTCGTCCTGCATCTGCCGCATCATGCATGCATGCCGGTCGCCGTATTCGAACACATGGCTTGCTGACTACCCGCCTATTCGTACAATATTTGCAAGGGGGACCGACGCCTGTTGCAGGTGAGATGCTACAAGATCGGGCATCTTCCATGTGGTGCGACCCCATGGCAGCCGCCCGGGAAACAAGTTCGGGTTACACCACTGTGGATGGGTCAAGGCCGAGGAGATAATGGACTGGTTACAAATGTCGTTAGTATAGAGTCTCAAAAACATCTAGATTCGTGTTTCCCAAGGCATAAGCATAGTGACCATGATGGGAGGGTAGGTAGTGATACAACAGATTCGGGCAGTCCCCCCATCTCCATCCGAATCGATTATACAGGCGTGTTGCTCCCCCACCGTCTTGTAGTATTTGTCTCCCGCGTCATGGAATCCCGCCTGTCTCTCTTCCTCGCACAAGCAAAAGCCAGCCAACGCCCCACGACTCTTCTATAGGTACATTCCGCTTCCCCTTCTCTATGAGCCATGTTTGTTGCCAGTGGGAACGAGAAACGCTTCATTCATATTCTAGGGTGAGCTAAACTCTGGGCTGTCGATCGAAAGACAGGGGAAGTCCAAGGCGGGGCCATGTTCTGGTTTGTTTATTTGAGGATGGACCAGAGCTTAGGAGCGGCGCATTGGGTGGCGCAGTGGGCGAGATGGAAGACTTGTTCGAGAGAGATGGAATTGTCAGCACTTGACCAGCAGCAGGGTCTGAGTATCGGGAAGGATATAGCTCGTACACTCTTCAACGCAGTCCTCCTTGGCGGTTTCACCGTTGGCTTGGGCGCTTGTGACACGCTCGACGCACTCGTCGAAGTGGTGCTTAACCGGGGCGCATTGCTTGGAGTTCCGGCACTCTAGATACACCAAAGGTCAGCGTTTGTCCGTGAGCGCAATGTCGCTGGAAATGGCGGGCCAGTGCAGGCGGAGAGCTGCGCGTTATGACAAAAGGGTTATGAAGTAGAGACGCAGGGCATCTCTCATAACGGCAATGCCGTCGTATTTCGATTCCTAGGGGGTGTCCGGTGGTCACGGTATAACCCACCTTCCTCAAGCTGCTCCTTGGGGTCGACAATTTCTGGCTCCTCCTCCTCCTCCTCCTCCTCCTCTTCTTCCTCCTCTTCCTCAGCGGCGGGCTCCTCCTCGGGGGCCTCGGCAGCCTCCTTCTCTGAGCTAGCTTCCTCCTGGGTAGTCTCGGCTGTCACTTCCTCGGTCTGTCAAACATCATTCACAAGTCAGTAATCATCGACTTGAAACTTTCATCAAGCTTGCCACAATACTCCAGGCTTGGGTACATATTGGAATCTACGATTCCATGCCGAATTGCAGCAGCACAACCAGCAGCGCAAGCCAGAGAGAGCGACAAGACGCAGCACGAAGGGGGATTAAAAGTGACGCATACCGACTCCTTGGCGGGGGCATCGGCGTCGGCCGTCGACCAGGGCGTGGCAGCCTCGACGAGGTCGGTTATCGTGTCCCAGAAGCCCATTGTGATCAGCCGGGGCGGCGAGTGGTGTCAATGGCGGGTGAAGGTTGGGCGGATTGCCTGACTGAGCGTGTTCAAGGCGGCTTCGAGCAAGGTTCAACAATCTCGCGACGTTGGAGCTCTCGCAAAAATCGGGTAAGCGAAAATCGTCCGGGCTTCCAATTCCTCGGCTGTGATTGGCCAACTGTTGCTGGCTGTTCCCGGTGCCCCGAGCTCCCGGTCTCCGGCTGTTCCCGCGCATCACGTGCTCTCAATCATCCATTGCGAGCTTGTTTCTCCGGTTCATCAGACGCTTCCAGAGCGCTTGCACCACTCACCTGTTCTTGTCATACCCACAGGATACAACCGTGCAAGCACAATGTTTATAGTAGCCATGCAGCTCAAAGTCGTAAGCAGGTACCCAACAGTCACACCACGCTCACGGCATAAGCAGGCAAATTGTGTTATCTTCTCTAAGACCAGCATCTTCCACGCTACAGAATCACTATTGGCCGATCCTTCACCGCAAGACCCAATATAGACCCGTCCTTGCTGGGGGTTATTTCCATCCGCACGAATTATGACTGGAGAATAGCCGGGACGAACACTGGCTGAAATCAATGACGACTGTACGCCTTCGCCTAACAGAAAGGCTCAGAACGGCTCTCTCAGAAAAGGCTCGAATCCACTGCTATAACCAACTGCAATGCAAAAACTCAACACTGATGACATCAAGGGTCGGCAGTGCAACAAGTCGGTGAGTGAACGGTTGAGAAACAAAGGAAAACTCAAAGGGGAGTCAAAATGGGCCGAATCCCATTTCCGTTTCAATCCACACTATTCCTTGGTTCTCATTGCCTCTCTGCTTCCTCCCGCATGCGCTCCTCGTACCGCATAGCGACGGCCTGGGTCTGCGCTTCCACATAATCCGGAGGCGGCTCATCAGGAGCAGGCTGAGGAGGTTGGTTCCGGGATTCAGCACTGGCCGAGACATTGCCGGAAGGACCTGCCGCCGATTCGGGAGGGGCTGCGTCATAAGGCGGTGGCGGCTCGAGATTCTGGCCCGGCATGAGTCCCAGTTCCTGGGCGTGATGCAGACGCTCCTTGAGCCACTCATATTTGGTTTGGAAGTCGCTGTGGCCGCCGTCCCTGAAGATGAACTTGACGTCTATTCGGGGAATATGCATGGGAATACCTCCCCCGGGAACAGGCCTGACAACCCCACCCCAGCTCCAAGGGCCAATCCATGACGAATGGACGTGGGTGTCCTGGAAATTCAGCACGGGCGTAAAGAAGGACTTGAAATTCTCGCTGGGCCTGGCTGGGAGGTAGATGACCTGCGGTCTTGTTAGCTCCCGAACGTTCTGCCTCTCGTCCCCCTTCTTCCAGGGGGATGGGCAATCCGGGATAAAGCTAGAGAAGGATGAGGGAACTTACCCGCTCGTTTGTGATGTAGGCGATGCCGTTGTCACATTTGAGTGAGAACGGCTCTGCAATCTGGAGCTCACGCGGTGTCGAGATTTCGAGAGCGACCCGCGGCCGCGAGGTGTGCAGTATCTTCTCCCCAGGAATAGGCACGATCTCGCCGTCCCGGGTCAGCATGACCCAACTGTCCCGCTCGTCAGACTGGGACTCCCTAATGAGCGTCCATGTGTGCTGCTCGGCCAAGAACTGGTCGGCCATGGCAGGGAGATGTGAGAGAAGGCAAAGTGGGGCGACGGTTGAGAACAGGGTGCCAGACAGGGGAGGTGACGGATTTGCGGTTGGGAATAAGAGCACATGAGAGGGGCGACATAGGGGGAGGCCAGGTCAAGGTAGGTATGTAAAGGACAAACAAGACATGACACACAAAAGGTTAAGGTATGTGGCAGGGGACCGGGGGCAGAAAGGGACAGGCAGACTCACTTTATTGACATTGTTGCGAGGAGGGTAGCCGGCCGCAGAGTGGCCCGCTGCACCACAGAGGTAAGGTAGGTGGGTGGTCTCGTCTCCCCTTGCAACTTGTCCCACACACGTCAGAAAATAAAATTAAAATACAAAAAAGAGGCTAGAGCAGAGCAGAGACCCTGCGAGATGGGGTGGTCTCTACCAGTCTCGATTCGCCAGGTTTGTCGCAGTGTCGCTGCTCGCTAGCACGCCGCAGGGTTTAGTACAGCATGTAGCGGCACTAGGGAGCGACCCAGTTCGTCCCGCGCCAGTGCCGCCTGCAGGAAGCACGGCCGAGAGATCTGGAACTCCTCTTGCGAGCTGCGCGGCTGTGGTAGTTTTCTGTAGTAAGCCCCGGCTTTGCTGGAAGTGCCGATAGCCTGTGCTTTCTGGGTTTCCGGGGCTCTGCGACGGGATGTCTTCGATTGCTTGGAGTTTCCTTAACGAGTTAGATGAAGGACAAGGTCCACACCGCCTCAGCGACCGGCTTCTCCGTTGCTCTCTCTCGCCGGTCTCCTCTCTCTATCTCTATCTCTGTCGGGCTCTCTAAGCTGTCCGGATCCTTGTTTATGCCGCACCGGGGGTGCCGAATGGAACCGCCTAGGCGCGATTCGTGTGTGGGAGACAGAGGACTCAAAAGGTCCGCTCACCCAGGGTAGAGCATGTACTCCTAGCTTGGAATCATTTGGCGCCCCCGCGGCGGATGAAGGTTGGGTTCCGGGAGTCGAACGGACACGGCGGAGGTAGGTTCAGGTTCCCAAGTTCGCGGCGTTGGAGGGGTAAGAGCGGGCCAAGAGCCTGGCATGTGAGGGTGTGGCGTAGCGAGGGAATCCCTGGAACCCCGCGCTAGCCATTATGGGAGCCTGGGAGGGCCCGTGTGGGTACAGTACTAACGTTATCGAGTCCCCATCGCCAATGTTGCACATACACTACCTCCGTACACAACCGACATATACTACATACATAGCTGACCTACCTGCTTGATTTATGCAAATGCCAGGCAGGTACGGTACAGAATGCAGGCCAAACCACCTCATACACAACACACGCAAGCTCTCAACAATTGAAATCCAATGATAAACGAGCAAGTACCCAAAGACGGGACACGACTTTTGTTTTCCGCGGCACACGCTGAATGTCCGAGATTTTTGGTTGCAGTATGCGGCCACCATCGCGGTGTCCTCCCCTTCTCCCACCAAATGCTCGCCATTGAAGCCGACGTCGCCTCGAAACAAGAAAAACAAGAGACGCTGGTCACTTTGAAACGGGCCCGTCATCCGTCTATCCTACCTAGCCAGTGCTGCACCAGGGCCCGCAGCACACGCTTCCATGTCTGGCTCGCCCGTTCAATCTGCTACTCTGCTGCTTCTGGCATCGGGCGAACGGGTCTTCTATCTCGTGGCAGCGAGCCATGTCCCCTGATCTTGAGCCGCCCCGTCTGTTGTCGAGGCCGCAGCTCATGAACTTCCTATGCAGCCTGTACTGTATGTCCACCTCATCTGGCGGCACGTCATTTGCGGCCCAGAATGGTAGCTGAAATGCCTCCTCCTGAACATGGTTCTGATACCACATAACAGCGCACACATTGCCATTCTGACCCCAGTAACGGGCGCAAGGGATGTGGGCGGGCGTGGGCCCGAGGGGAAGGAAAAGACGAAAAGAAACGACCTGGAATCAATCTCCCGCGGTGCTTGTTAGTTTAAATTGCACCCGCGCGACTGCATCGCTCCGCCCAACCACCCGAAGACACGGCATTCCCAGAAGACTGGCCTGTCCCAATCGGTGCCGATGTTCTGATCCGAGCTTCAGCTTGAGGCTGGCTTGGACAATACCATGCTTATGAATCTACACTATGACTACCGTATATTTGACCGGTAGTACAGTAGTGTAGGTCCCAACGAGCTGGTGCCCCTGTCCTCCCCCTTTCCACGCCTCGTCCCCTCGCGTATCAGTGGACGCAATTAACGTTACTCACCGGGTTCCAGCCCCTAGGATTCTTTCCCGAAGAGGCTTCTCCAGCCCAAAGCTCACCGCCCAGAGCCATGAGGCGACAGGGGGTTGAGCGCCGGACTGGTGGGGCTCTAATATCACTTCCCGATCGCTCTGGGACGGGTACTGTTGCCCCTGCGAGGAAACAGGTATGGGAAACAGGTATGGAGGACCGATTTCCTTGCCGTACTGCATGCTGTTGAGACATCTCGTGGAACATGAATGACGTCTTCGGGATTCGGATGAGAACCGCCATCATGGGTTGACTCTTAAACCGCTGCCCACTCGCTAGTGACGCGGCCCAGTGCAGTTATGTTCGCAGCCCTCAGTCCGTCCCAGAACGCTTGTCCGGGACGCCCCGCGAGTGCCAACCGCAAACCCGAGAAGATGCCTAGAAGCTGCGTCTCGGCAGTACGGATAAGTGGGAGCACCGCCTTCTGTGTGAGACATGACCAGCACGCTACCGTGCTAGGTTTAACCCCACACTCCTGCAGGGCTGATCTGCCCAGAGTACACTTCCGCCGGGGACTGAGAGAGCCCGTGTGTTTTCGAATGGGGACGCACAACGACGCATTTCACTTCGTCCGGATCCGTCGCCACCACTACCCCATTGGCAAAGCGTCAAACCTGTCAAAGCTGTCAAACCTCGTCTCCCTCACGGCAGATACCGCACTCTGGTAGTCTGTTTGATGATGGCCGTCGGCGTCCATCGCTGCTATACCCGTTGCCGACCTGGTTATGCAGTCTGCTAGCCGATTTAGTGTACCGTCGAGCCTAGCGAGGTGTCCTTGGGTCCTCTAATCTCGCCTTCCCTGATTCGTGTGTTTCCCGGGCTGTCCAATCTGCGTTGTCCATCATCTTCCGGTATCACCGCAGCAGCTACAGGCCTCTTGACCTTAGGGCCAAGCTGCCTGAGTTTCGTCCAAAGGCACCACAAGGCCTCGGCACTCACCGATTCTTCGCCGGACAATTAGCCCTTTAGGTGCTTGGGGCCGCTTTGCTGCTTGGGACCCAAAGTCCAGGGCTTATTCGTTCTGAATCTCGCCCCGTGCTCTGCGGTCACAAGAAGTCGGTCAAGAATGGTTCGACCAGCTTCCCCAACCACCTTGCTTCTGAGGTCATATAGTGTCACCACCAATGACCCCCATAGACAGAACTGCCTGGCCTGAGAAGTGATTGGTTCCACAGTCCCAGATCAAACAAACAGACATCAGAAACTGTGTACAAGCCGATCTTCGGGCCGGCTTGCCTCTTTCTCGTGCGCCAGGGGAGTAAAACCCTTGCAATCAGCCCGCTGCTGTGTACCCTCACCCCACAGAAAGCCGCCGGTACCAGCATTGACAGTCGTAGATTGATCGGAGACAGCATACTACCTCCCCTCCTATAAAGGTCACAACCTCTTCGGCACGCGTGAGGTTGGGGAGAGTCTCTCCATCGCCGAAACAGACAGCTTCTTCACCCTATGTTACATTTATCCCTCGATCTTGTCACCGTCCTCTACCTATCACCCATATGCCGCGAACAGTGTGAATCGATGAAGTGCTTGAATTAGCTGGCCTCCATCTGCACGTGCAGGTCCGGGCCTGGCCTGGGTCTGTGGGGGGAATGGGGCATGAGGAGGAAGTCCTAGCAAAGGCTCTGGTCTGGATACCGAGGATATGCGAGCCAACCATTCTGCGAATGTCGACGGCTGGTGATCATTCACCGGTGCTAGACGACCCCCTCGCTCCGCTCCTGGCCATACTCGGAATGTTTTCCCGAGCGTCACAGCTGCTTGGCCACGTTTGGTGCTTCGGTCTCTCTTTCACACTCTTGCCGGATCTTACATGGCCACTGGGCCTGCATCGACATACTGAAGCTTATCCAATCGCGTCAGCAAACATGACGGACAGCAGGGGTGCTGTAGGACTGGGAGTACCTACAATTGCTTGGCTTGTACATACTGTACATGCAGTATACAGGCTTTCTGGCGTTGATTGCCCTCGGGAAGGTTGTAGCACGTCCCGCAGTTGACTTCGCCTTCGCTAGCAGAGGCGATTGTCGGTGTGATTGGGTGCTTCAGCCGAGTGCCATACCATGGGGACTCGGGCAACACACCGAAAATACTACATTAAGGGATTTGATGGCGCACACCAACAGGCGGAGACGTCGGGGTTGTGTATCTTGAGCCCGGCCTCGCCCCCTTTACCGGTGAGATCCTCCCATGCTTTGCTTCTGTGCTCGTGCGGCGCTGGTCCAACTCCCCACAGCCCCTCAGCCGGCCCATCACCGCTCTCTCCGGGTGCAGGCTTGAAGCGCCAATAAAAACAGCAGTGAGCAGGTATGCCTCTATCTTCAAGTGGTACAAGTGTTGTCATTTAGCAGTGTCTGAGTCAGAACACAGTCATGCGGTTGGCTCAGAGCTCCTCTGGGTAATAGCACCGCATGGGGAATTATCACGTCCCACACAGATCGAGCTTGGTCTTGACACAGAATAATGAATTTTCAGAGATTCGTCTTTCATTAAAGCGTGCAGTCGTAGCCCATCCTCGTTACAAACCCGACAATATGGTTCTGACGTTTGTCCAAAGAGGCTGGGGGCCTATGCCTTCCCGTGAATGATCACCATTCATCACAAGATGACAAACAGAAACCCGCCTCACCAACAGATTTTCTCTTTCCCTGGTGACGTTGGTTTAAAGTGGACAACAGCAGACATCAAGTACCCCCACGATAATATGGAGTAGGAAAGGAAATCAAGACAAAAATGAAGAAACCCAACACACAAGGGTCCATCAACGCTCGCCCTTATACCCCGATCATTCAATTTTTTCCTTCCTTCTTTGGCACCCACCAAGAAACAGATGCCAAATATCGTCGACCGCTCTTGATGTCAAAATGACTCCCTAATCAGGTGAGGGTCCGGACATTCGGATTACAGCGGCAGTAAAAGGCAAAGGGATTCTTGCCCATACGTTTGGGGGTACAGTGATGAGGCCACAAGGGAGAACGGGAAAGAGAAAGGAAAGAATGAAGCCAAATCAGCAGCAAACCAATACACCCCCTCGGAGGCGTATAGGTCCTAGATCATCTTGCTTCTTCCCTTTCCCCTTACCCGGACCCCATTCCAGACAGCCGAGAGTGAGACAACCCACAGTCGCAGCCGAGCCCCATCTTTTCCCCCATTGATTACCAACAGACAAAAGTGGGTTGTCAGCGGGTAGTGTACACGTGGTGTAGTGTACCAAGTGAGTGGAGCCGGTGCCGTCTGTCGGTGAAATACTGGGAGGAGAAAGGGGGGGGGTGAGGTATTGATCTGCGGTCCGGAGTCAAGAAAGCCAAGCGTCATTGGATCGCACGTCTGCCAGCATATCGCCGCCCTCGACAGCAAAGTCAAGCTTGGGCATCTCAATCCTCGGAGGAGGCGCCGGGTCTTGCTTTTTCTTGTTGTTGCCACCGTTACCACCCCCGCCACCTGCACCACCAGCTGGAGCCCTCTTGGCGGGTGACACGCTCCTGCTCCTGGTGTCTGGGGGCGGGCCGTACCGCACGTCGCGGACGTCCCACCCGTCCTCGGCGGCGGCGGCGACCCAGGTGCGCAGGCCGTCGTGGACGGCGCCGTAGAATTTCTCCTTGCACAGGCGGAGGCTGCCGCCGAGGCAGCGCTCCCAGCCCGAAATGCGAAGTTCGGCGCGCAGCGCGTTGCGCTCCCGCGACGTGGGGCCCGTGCAGGCCAGAATGGCGTTCATCAGGTCCAGGTGGCTCGCCAGGTAGTTTGTGGCGTCCCACTCGACCCCGCCGACGTAGGGGGCCGCGGGTACTGGGGGCCGCTTCTGCGGGAAGTGGCGCGCCATGTAGGCGTACTGCTGGTGCTGCTGCTGCTGGCAGTCCGGGTCCTGCGTCGTTGCCACGCTGCTGCCACGGTTGGCGCCCGGGCGGGAGGCGTCATCCCCTCCAGACGCCCCTGTGGCTGACATGGATGTAGTAGTAGTACTAGTGGCCTCCGCGCCTGTCTTGTCATCACAAGTCGTTGGTGACTTGTCAGTGGCAGAGGGCAGGGCGATGACATTGAGGTGATGCAGAAAGATCCAAAACACTTCCTTGGTGACGTTGACCACCTCCTTACACCACACCCGGTAGGGCCGCTCCCGACGCATCTCGAGGACAAAGTCGAGGGGTCGCTCCTCCTCCTTGGGCTCGGGGTCACGCAAGTAGCCGAGGACAGCCCTTGCGCGCGAGACGCGCTCTTGGGGTGTGGCGGCCTCGATGTACGTAAGGAGGATGGATGTGATGATGGTGCGGGTAGTGAACTCGCTGGGACCCTTCTTCTCCGGATCGAAGATCATGTGCAGCAGGGCCGGGAAGAGCGTGCTGTGGATGGAGTGGAGATACTGCAGGGCCATGGCCGTGGTGCAGAGCGCCTTGAGACACAAGAGATTCTCATGCAGCAGGGCGTCCTCGTGCTCCTCTCTGCATGGGTTGTTAGTTCATTCTCGGTCACATTCGGGCAGGTAATGTAGCAAGAGAGCAGGCAAGGGGATAGAAGCGCCACGAGTCTCCACCGCTGTAGCTGCAATAGCACCAGCACAGCAGCCGAGCAGGGGCTCGTTTTCGGCAGCAGAACCAATAGGTAAAACCAACAGAGCATTACGTACCTCCACTCTACAGCCATGATACGGTGTAGCAGCTCCACGATCTCCTTCATCCCGCCCGACCGGATAAACTCTTCAGTCCAGGCCACGGTCTCGTTGCGTAGCAGAAGCCGTAGCTTGTGCAGCTTGCCCACCTCGACCAGCTCGGGTTGTTGCACCTTTCTGAGATAGGCTACGAAGTCTCCGGGCAGCTGCTGGCCTTTGACTTTGGCCAAGAGGTTGCTTCCATACCCGGAGAATGGCCCGGGTGAGGGCGGCTCGCTCACCAGACTTTCGCTCGACTTTGTCCTGAAGTGCCGACCCAAGTTGCTGTCCCCCTTTCGTTTCTTGATTGGCGACTGGGCGTCTCCTTTGCTGCCGCCTTTGACGATGGTCAGGCTCAGCCCCCGGCCGTGCTTCTTTTCCTTCTTGGCGCGTCCGCTGCTGTCTCCCCGGTCCGCCATTGAGTCCGCTGCCGTTTCACTCGTTCCCGGCGGAGGGGCGGAACCACTGTTCGAGCCCGGGCGCTCGAGCTGGGCTTGTGTCTCGGCCCAGTCTTGCCGAATAAACTCCATCTTGATGGTGTCGCTCAAGTTCCGCATCTTGTACCGCTGATTCTCTGGGATGTTGCGGCGGTCCAACAAGGCTTCGAGATGCTTGTCGATATCCTTGGGGTCGATCGTAGGTACCTCAGGCCCTCCGGCCGCAGCCGACAATTTTGGCCTGGATCTAGCCGGGGGCCCGGAGGCCGGCGAGTCGCTTCCCTTACCCCACGTTTGCCGCTTTGCGCCGCTGTCGCCGCCCGACTCGGCCGACCGCGTAGAGCCATCTTCACGATTACTTGTGTAGGCCTGGAAGGATTTTGGGCGTGGCTTTCTCCAAGATGACAGCACACCAAACCGTTCCGAGCTGTTCCTAACGGGCGGTTCGAGCGGGAATTCCACCTGTGGCGAGGGAGGCCCGAAGGCATTGCTCGCGAACTGGGCGTAAATAGGTGTCGCTGGGGCCGTTCCGATGACGTGGTCGCTGCCCAAGGAGCTATGTGGCGTCCTGTTCTCCTTGTCTTTGTCTTTGGCGGTGCGCTTCAGCCCGTCGTCGTCCGTTAACAACTGTTTCAGGTTCTTCACGGACTTGGGGCGTAGCAACGCTGCGAGATTGGTTGCCGACTTGGACTTCTTTGGCTTCGATGACGAGGTGTCCTCATCCTTGGACTTGCGTGGCTTGCTTGAATCTCTTGTAAAGGGCCTCAGCGAGATGGTGGCAAAACCACCGGTCTTCGCCGGTGATGGTGCCACTTCGGTGCTACGACCGCGACCTAGCCATCTCTCCGGGGACCGCTCGGGCGACCTGTCAGGCTGGTTCTGCGGCAGTTCCCCAAGGGGTCGCGGGTTACGTTGCCGTTCCATGGCTGCCGCTGCTGAAGTGTCGAAGCCCACGTAGAACACGTCGTTGCTGTTGACTGCAAGGTTGCGCTCTGAGGCGTGGAAGCCCGGTGTCAATCCTATAGGCGTACAGAGATCTGAGGGAGGGAGTGCCAATCCGTCCGAGTTGTTCCGTTTGTGCCCGCCGCCGATGAGTGACCGCAGGACTGATGACTTGGACCGTTGGTGATGCTGGCGGTGCGATGCCGCATCTGCTGCCACTCCTGGCGTTCTGTTTAGTTCCGCCATGGTGGTCGTGGTTATGGCCGAATTGTACACAACGGAAGGGAGATGGTCTAGATATTCGTAGATGCCTTGGAATTGCCGTGGGAACGCCGGTTGGGATGCCAATGGAAAACGCCAAATGCCAGAAGCCAGCAACTACCGAGAACACCCGAAAACAAAATGCCTGGCGTCGCTCTCAGAATGCTGTGGTTGCCGTATCATGCCATTGCCATTGAGAAAGAAAAAGAAAGGCCTGGGTCAGTCACCTCAGGTTTGCGAAGCTGAAAATCCCAATGGCATACACCAGAGATTATTCCCGGGACCAAGTTGGTCGTTTTTGATGGTGCGGGAGATGGCAGCGAGGTCCTAATGAGCACTCGTAATTAACGTCAGTTAGATGCGATGTTCCCCAGGTCCGTCCGGTTGCTAGTCGATTCCATTGGCAGGACCGTCAAAGTGGCGCGCCAATGACATGGTTGTTTACTGGGGGTGCCGTTGCCACGGCGATGTTTTCCCCGGAGCTTCTATCGATAAGGTCGCCCCGCGATTACCCCGCGAACCCCCGATGTCAGGATAAGAAATGCTTGCAACGGTTAACGTTAGTGCGTAGCAAAGTTAACTCGACAAAGCGACAAAAGCAACCATCAGAATAATCTTAAAACGTTGTACTCAAAATGGACATTGTCTCATCTACACTACCTAGACATGTGCTGTAGTTATCACCAACTCAGCAACCCTCTTCCTCTATCAAACCCGCCCCGCAGCTGCCTCTCCGGTTTGACCACCTTACCCTGCAAAACAGTGAACTTGACAATACCCTCACAGTCCTCCGGTTTGACCCTCGCAAGCCAAATACACTGTCCAGCGCCCACATCTTGCTCCTCCTCTTCCGCCTCCGCTGCCTCTTCCTTTCCCTCTTCCTGCCCTCTCTCTTTGCTACCCCTCTTACCGACCGGTCCAGACCTGATATCCAGCCCCTTTCCGTCCCTCAGCAGCTCCGCCCTGCGGACCTGATCGACGCCGAACGCGTCCGGCCGCCTATAGACCATGACGTTGGCGCTGTACTTGTGGCCCCCGACGTGGCTGATGAAGTAGATGCCCACGCCGCCGGGCCGCTCGTCGTCCAGGTCGCGGTACAGGCCGAGCGGCTGCAGGTGGCGCTGGAACTCGCGGCGCAGCAAGGGTGCGCTCTGCCCGCAGCGTGCGTCGCGCGTCCGTTGGCTGCACAGCAGGATCAGCGCCCGGTGCGGGCACGGCCGCGTCGTCAGGTCCTTAATCGCCGCGGGGGTGCCCTCGGGCAGCGGCGCCGCCAGGGACGGCGGGATCGCAGGCGTCTCTGCGGCAAGCGGGGTCGTGGTTGTTGGTGCACGCGCGACGATGGAGTCCAGCAGGGTTGGGACGGTGGCGGGCGTGACGTTGTCGATCAGCAGGAAGCCCGGGAGCAGGAGCACAGTGGTCGGTTCCGAGTAGGATGGGGGTGAGTGAGGCGTGGGCATGTTGGATGCAGAGAGCATCAGGCGCTGTGTGAAGGTATAAGCATTGCATTTGTTAGCCAAGGTACTGCAAATCGGGCTATAAGGTTCCTCCTTCTGAGAAGGGAAGACCCGACGGCAATAAGGTAAGGCAAGAATTAGTACCCCGTTGCTAGGCTGCTTAGCGTGCGCAATCGCCTGCATTACGCTGCCCTTCTCGTCGGCGACGTCGCGCACCCAGTCCGTCTTGCCCGTCGCGACCAGCACGTGTGTGCTCCACCCCTTGACGAAGCCGTACAGGTCATCGTCTTCATCGATCTTGAAGTTTTTGGGATAATGGACCACGCAGTTGTCGCAGTCTCGGTCGCAATCGTCGCCGTCGACAGCCTTGTCCACGACCGGGAACAGGTCCTGTATCGAAGCCTTGCTGCCCGAGTTGCCAATAGTAAGCGCCTTGGCGCCGTTAATGAGTGCCTTAAAAGCGCTCGTCATTTTCCGGATTAGAGCACCGATGTTGCTCTGGTCCTGCTGTAGGTGACACCCGCTGTTTCCTGTTTAGCGTTGGACGACCGCTACCTGAGGACTGCTGGCCGAGCCGGCCGGCGGTGTCGAGGGATCCGGGCAATTATTTTATAAGATGCCGAAGGATACTCTCCGGTCGGCGATTCGGAGCTAACGGAGAAGTGGGGACGGATCGGTGCAGAGTGTAACCTCAACCCACCATTCCAAGCAATGCCGAGTCTGTCGACAGTTGGCCAGCCCCTGAAAATCCCAGGATATTTTAGGACGACACGCGCAATCAAGTTTGGGAAGGCTCATTCAGTTCATGTCTGCTGCTCCTTAGGACTCGTCAAACTCGGAATTGCAGCATTGTAAAGCCACAGAAGTCAAGCGTGATCAGTTCCACTATAAATTACCCCCGGAGCTAACACCGAGCTGGGCCCTGCCGACGAATCCGTTCAATGTGTTCATATCAGTCAATGTCCGAAGAAGGATCAGTCGGAAGACGTCACTTGCACGGCCATTGCGTAATGCCCTCAGGCAACGGCTGCCAGTTACCGCGATTATCAAAAAATCAGATAATGAGCAGCCCGATATGGATAAGGTAGTACTGTTTTGTCCCGGGCTGCCTTGATGCAAGACGTACGTACCCGACATACACGTCTAGGGACGCGTGAGGCTCTGATTGTGTATCAGTTCCGCTGGCAGGATCGAAGGACTCACCTCTCCTCTGCGTATTGAGTACAGTACCGCTGTTAGTGCAGCCAAATTTTTCGGTGTGAAAATTCTCCTCTCAACTACCCCTCTTAACAATCCTGGCAACGCTGTACTTCTGCATGTGCACACCTGGATGTATCAGACGGTATGCTCGCACGGCGAATCGGCCTACCTACCTAAGTTACCTAGCGCAAGGCCGTTCATATGCCGTCCGGGACAAGTGACGGTCTGCCGACTATCGACCCCGAGGCCACTGGTTAATAGCTTTTTTTCGAAACATGAAACACCTCAACCATTGTCTGCCAAAACACAACGCATTGATTGACCGCGAAAGCACACCATGACTATATCTGTCATCCATACATCGCTGGCTTGAGGTACAAGTACACAACCAAAGAACCCCCCACTCCTTCCCTCCCCCCCCCTCAACAACTGCGTCGCATCACTTCTCCTTCCTCGCCTCCTCATAGTCCCTCAGACTCCCCGCGCTCTCTTCCAAGCTATCCACACTGCCCTCCTCATCGTCGCTACTCTCATCCTCCAACCCTGCCTCCTTCGCCACCCTCTTTCTTCGCCTGATCTCCCCCCTCTCCTTCATAGCCTGCCTGATCCTCCTGTTCGCCTCATCAAATCCCTCCTTGCTATCCAGCGAGGTGAAGCCAGTAACCGGGAACCCGCCCATCACCGGCCCGCCCCCGGCGCTGCTGCTCCGGCTGCGGCTCCGGCTAGGCGGGCGGGTAGCGAAGAGCTGTATCTTTCCGATATTACTAAACGACTCGTTGCGGGGGATGGCACGGCTCGACCGCGTCGTGCTGCGCCGTGTGAGCGGCGCCTGAGGCGGGCTCTCGGCACCCTCCGCGGCGGGCGACGACGTTCCGCTGGAGACGTGGTAAGGCATCGATGGCCGGGTAGGGGCGCGGGAGGCGGCAGCGGCGGCAGCAGTCTCCACCGCAGACGCCGCCGCGGCAGCCCGGCCGGAATCGCCTACGAGTCGGGTGTGCTCGAAATCCGGAAACATTTCCGGTCCGAGCGTGTTGATCACCCTGGTGACCTGCTCGCTGAGCTCAGCACGACGCTCACGGAGCTGGTTGAGGCTGTAGCTCGACGTCGGAAAGATGCAGAGCGCGAGCGGCCGGAGCGACTTGAGTATGTCCATGCCAACTTCTCCGAAGCGAAGCGCCGCAAAGGTAATGGTCGGGAAGAAGATGAAGCCAGCCACAAACACGGCCCATATCGGCACCCATTCAGGCACACGCCCCCCGAGACGGTCCTGCCAAACCAGTAGGGCAGTGATGGCAGTGTAGAAAAAGTAGAGAACCGGTGCAAAGAACATTGCAACCATGATTTTCCACGTAGCCATCACATCCTTCCCCTGAATTTTCACCGAGGACCCGGCAAGTGCCGCCTTCGCCTTCTTTTTACTGATGATTTTTGTGGCGATGAACACGGGGGAGAAAAGGATAAGGCCGGGAAGCACGCCAGCTGAGAGAGCCAGCAGCTTGGCCAGCCGGTAGAAAAGGGTAAAGACAACTTTGGGCCACGACATTTTGCCGTACTGGACCTGATGATCGCGAATGTTCAGGTAGCGAAGCTGCCTGTTGTAGTCGTTGACTGACTTCTTCAGCTGGACAATGCGCTCGTCGTTCTTATACCTTTCATAGCCCAGAGCGAGTCGACGGTTCAGCTCGACAATCACAGGAAGAGGCAGCTTTTTCCCCGTGGGGTTGTACAGCCGCCTGGCTGCTTGGATCACCATGAGCGTATCATAATCTGGCGTCGAGACCGTCACAGCGCTGAGCGCTTGGTGCACCATATCCAACACTTGACCAACCGCCTCTCTTCTCTCGTTGTTCTTGTACATCTCAACGAGCCTCTTGGGAACCTCGAGGGGTTGGCCAAACTCAATGACGGCCCTCGACCGGAACTTGTGGGCGTGGAAATAGTTCATTCCAACTGGCACGATCTTCAGGCCGCAATCGGGAGCCTCGGTAAGCGTTCCGAGGGCCATAATCGCTACGCCTGCCTTGAGCGGGAGTAGCTCGGTTCGATCGTGGCTACCTCCTTCTGGGAAAATACCGACGCATCCACCAGACTTCAAACGGTCAAACACAGCCCGGTATACTTCGGACTGGTCAATGCGGGGCGCTAGCTTGTACGTAGTTCCTTCATACCCGTCCTTTGGCCCGTTGATATCCATGAGCCCCAGATTCCCCTGGTCGTCAATGTCATCCCGGCCCGTGAGCTGCGTCATGGCAAGCTTTCCCCTGAGAGGACGCTTGATGCGGATCTCGTTGGGACCAAGGATCTTGGCAATGTCGACACTCGACCCTGTCTGCCCCTTGGCAGACGGAAGAAAGAGCATTCCACCAACTTCGGCTTGCTTCTCAAAGTCTGTGCCGATTCCGCGGATAAGAGTCGGGTCATTGAGAGGATCAGGAAGGTAGATGGTGCCCTGGCCAGGTTTCGCATAGTCCTGTGCCCGGCCGACAGGAACGGACCCGACCTGGCGGGACGCAAACCCGATAAAACCGTGGACCGACTTCTGGGCTATGAGGAGCGAAACACGGCGCTGCGCCTCGTTCCGTAGTGTCCGCTGGAGAATAAGGGCGTCGACAAACTATGATCCAGACACCATCAGCGCGCCGCACCCCATAGTGTTGCCTCAGAACTAGGTCCATTACCTACCTGGTTTGCGTGTGGAGCTGCGACGAAGAGCACGGGACCAGTACGGGGAACCTTCCAGGAACCTCGGGGATGCACCTCGCGGAAGAAGAGATCAACCAGGACGGATGTGGTCCACAAAAAAGTGTCATATTTCCAGTTGCTCATAGGATAGAGTTCCTTGGTCGCGCTCGGAGATGATGTGCTCTGCGACTGCGGGGCAGGCCGCTGAGGCTCGGAATCGGCCATCTTGACGGTGGAAAAGGGGGGTCACGATAAAGGGCGAGGCAGCGACAAGAGGCAGAGAGGTAGCCTCGCCGTTAGCACTGGGGTCGGCAGTCCAAATTCGACTAAATATCTCGACTGCGGAGAGGATTAAGCGGAACACATCGAGGGTCCAATGCACTTGTGAGCTAAACCGGTTCAACCTTATATAGCGACCTCGGCTCGTGCAGGTACCCGTGAGTCGCAAGGCGTGGTCGCCCGAACTTCCGCCGTGAATCGGCTTGGGAGCCTGTTTATGGCCGAAGAGGGGTAACTGGTCTCGGTTCGCGTTGGGTGTTTTCAGCCCAGATTCCAGCGCGCGGGCAAGACTGCTTAAACAGACGGATCTGATCTCTCGGTCTGAGCGCCGATGCAGCAAGGTGACAAAGTCTTTGATCGTCAGGGTATCCCGAGTTGAGGCGCTGATGGGGACCAATTCGAGGCGTGGGGTTTGGGTATCAAGAGATTTCGGGCGTTTATTAACGTGGACTCAATGAAGAGCGATGGACATACAAGACGGTAAAAAATTAGATGGAGATAATGAATGAAAAGGAAGGCAGCGTTGTGGAATGTGGGAGAAGACCGTTGGCACTTTTTTCTTCCCTACACGTGTAGATGCACGCAGAAGTGCGGCATATGTGTGTTAGAATCTCGGCCCCTTGCCGACCCAAGGAGCATGAGGCGTGTGGGTCCCATCGATGTCATCCCACAGCAGTGTCTCAAGCCGCTAAGCCGGGTCGGCTCAGGGCCTTTGGCTTAGCAGGTTTCTGGCCCACACGCGCCTCCGCCATTGCATCCAGAATTGAGCCCATTGGCTCGTTTCAGTGCAGGCAAAGTTAGGCTGACCGTCTGGATTGGCCATCGTGAGAAACGCCGGCTGGAACCGTCGTCCTGCAGCAAGGCAGAATTGTATTCTGCACCAAGTAGAGACGAGCGAAGCAGAAGGACAGATATGCGAGAAAGAATGCAGCAATTCTCGATAGATTTTGTTATGTGTCCTATCCTGGAATTTGTGATAAGATATCCGAACCTGTAACTTTATCACTGATCAACCATGAAGCGGTCAAGCTCCTGGGAGCTTGGGGCAGTGTTGTGGATCCATTCACATGCCAGAAGCTAAGGGATATTCATGAAGTACTAATACGGAGTCTCACAATAAGATGCCGATGGAAAAGTCTTGAAAATATCAGCATTCTCCAGCCCAACAGATTAATCCATTACTCAAGTGACAAACTTCGCAACAACAGTGGTAGACTCCAGACCGATTTCATACCACAGGCCATGGAGGGATTTCAGGCTAGGGTTCGAGGACCAGGGCTATCTATGGCTACGGTTATGGTAACGATCGCGACGCGGAGTCGTTCGCCCCCCAAAACGGGAATATTCCTCGACCCGATGCTGGCTCGAACTGCATGTGTGATCCCTATCCATCCCCCTTACCATCAGCTGATGCATGCTTATCTCGCATGAGCATGGCTCTGCTTCATTCTACAAGCTAGGTAAGAAACAATGCCTTGTATGCACTGTACAATACATTTTGGGGCTCGGTTTTTTGATGCCATCTAATTTTGCCCCTGAGATGGTGAGGTCAAATATATTTCCCTTGAAGTAAAGGGGTAATAGGCAAACACACGTCCATATCGCTGATAACCTCATACAATGCAGACGGGAATTGAACATCGTCAGTTCCACTGCTTGAGTACGTGGCCCAAGAGAATGCGGTCACGAACAATGTCTGACTAAGCCGCTACTTATCCGTACGGTACGGCAACTTGACCCTACGGCCATCTCCTGCGTTCATCCCCCTTACTTCTTCGCCTTCCCTTTCCCTTTCCTCTTGGAACTCCCTTCTGGGACACCAACTAACCCTTCCTCCAGCTCCCCAGGCTCAATCATTCCTTCCTTCTCCATCTCCTTCAATTTCTCCTGCCCACTGATAAACATGGTCAGATCGCGGTTCATCTCCTTGAGCTCCTCATTTTCGGCCCTGAGCTCATCAATTGTCTTTTTCACGCTCTCCGCTTCCCCATTGAGGTGGTCAATCCGCTTCATCAGCCCAGCGCTCACCTCCTTCTCCTCCTGTAAGGCCTTCCCCAAATTCCTCGCCAGTTCCCCAGACTTGATCGCGCGACTCTTTTGCCTCTCCAGCTCCCGCTCCAGAGAAGGAACAGTTCGCTCCTTGAGGACGCGGTGCTCTTCCCGAAGTGCAGTCAGCTGCTTGAGCGCTTCGCTGGCCTGTGCGGAGGCCGACTCCGCCGCCGCCGTAGCCTTGGCAGCTTTATCCGCCGCCTTGTTGACCATCTCTTCGAAATAGATCCGCTGGCTCTCGAGCTGGCTCGTCAACAGGTGCGTGTACTCCATGCCGATGCGATCGAGTTTGGCACGGGGTACCACGTCTTCTTGGCCCGCACCATCCCTCCCTCCTCCGGCTTGGCGGTCGTTGTTGTTGTTACGCGGTAGCTCGACAACCTTCCCGTCGCCCTTGTCACGGATCAGCCGGTGCACCCACATGTCCCCCGCATAGTCCCACACGTGCTGCGTCTCGAGCTCGAGACTGAAGCTGTGCGCCGTCTGCTTCCAGTGCTCCTTGGCGTGTCCGCCGTTGTACCGCCCACATCCAACATTACCGCAGATGAGGCAGATCCATAGGTCGTCGGTGCAATTGCAATTGTTGCAGATATTGGATACGCCAGAACCGAACGGTCGCGAGTACGGATTCTCCGGGTCGTAGCTGTCCGCGCTGGGTTTGGGGTTCGTAGCCCGGCAAACGGGGCAGCCTGAGCCTTTCCACGTCTGGAGGCATGTGCAGTGGAATACATGTTGGCATAGTATAGTCATCAGGCCGGTAGTGTCGTCCATGCGCTCAAGGCAGACAGCGCAGGTTGGAAGTTCAATGAGGTTTGGGGTAGGCGGTGGAAATGGTTTGAGCGAGCTGACGACGGGAGAGGTTGGAGAGAACCGCTCATCGCTGGCCTCCGAGGGTTTCCTTATGCTGCCCCCTTGGTTCGGTGTCTCGACCGTAATCGACTTTATGAATGTAACGTGGCAGATTTCGGTCTGTTTGAACCATAGTTAGCACCTCTAGCCCCTCCTAATCGCAGGATCGGAAAACGTACCTCGACGCTATCGAACGGTTTCCCGTCGAACTCCTTCCGCCACTCCCTAGCTCTCTTGCGATCCCGAAACTTCATAAGCACCATGTACCGGCTCATCCTGCTCGTCATGACCATCCGGTAATGACTAACATCGCCGCGCCATTTCTCCCCAACGAAACCCAGGAAGTCGATGGGCGACATATAGCTGGGAACCGCCGGGATGCAGAGAATCGTGCCCTCCTCATCAGCCGAGCCCACACCGTTCCCGTTTCCGTCGTCGCCATCCTGCGGATCAGGCAGACCGCGCAACGCATCCGACTCATCGCCCTCCCTGTAGAGATGTACAATCCCCCAACCGGCCTCGGTATTCTTCGTCTCCAACGGCACGTATCTCGCCTTGGTAGCCAGGCCTACACCGCCGAGATTGGGACCCAGCGATGCCGCCGGCGTAGCCGCAGTCTCAGCCTGCACCGTTGACCCGGCCATCTTGCTCATGGTAACCCCACTCTGCGAAATCGTCCCGTTTCCGTCCTGAACAAGGTCGAAGCTCTCAATCCTGACCCTCCCAAACCGCCAGTCCCTAACAGCCGTAGCCGGGCCTATCCCGTCCGAGACCTTGGGCGGCGGCGACAGCGACAACGACGCCCCCTCGCGGAACCGCCTTTCGCTTAGCCGCACTATATTCCGTCCGCGACGTCCTCCTCCTCCTCCTCCTGTTGCTCCACCGTCGTCAACCTCGTCGTGTGCCCTGCCCCTCTGCGCGCCGCAGTCGATGATCTTTGTCGCCGAACCCGCAAAGGCAGCCGCCTGTCTCGCCGTGACGTCGGCGTAGTCGTGACGCCCGTCGGTGGCGTCCCGTCCCCTTGGCTTGCTCGTCGTCGTCGCCGCCGCCGCCTGTCGTCCGTTGTTGTTATTGCTGCCGCTGCTAGTGCGGGGATGAGAGGGTAGGTCGTCAAAGATGCTGGACCCGGGGGCGGGCACCCAGATCTCGTCAGCTGAGCCAACGGTGTAGTCGTTACTGTTGGTGCTCTTTGCCGTCGGATCGGGCGTCGCGTAGAGCTCAAACTTTAGATGGTAGTAGTAGGACGGCATAGCCGTAGTGCTGCATATGGGTTTGGCTGTCTGGACCGACCGGACGCTGTGCCCAGCTAGCTAAACGTACGAACGCAAGATGAGACGATGGAATATCAAGGTGGCAAACAATTTATGGAGGGGCCACGGAGGGAAATGCAGTTCTGCCTCACAAGCTCACAGCCCCTCTCAATGAAATTCATGGTGGGCCAACTGAACGCCTGGCACTTGCGGTTTGTTGCGGGCATTCACAGCACATCACACTAGGAATGAGGTTGAAGCAATTTTTTGTGAGTTTGTGGCCTTGCGCAAGGTGCTGCTCGCTTGTCGTCCTCAGGCGTTTCCGAAAATGGTTGCTTGATTCAGAGAACACCTCAACATGCAAGATTCGCTTCATAGAATCGTCATGCAACATTGCAAAATCAATCACACAATAGCCAGAGCGTCACAAGTTTGGCATCAAATCTCGGAGAGCCCATCCAGCACTTGTTCATTACGTGCCTTTCCCTATGCTATGGACCGAAAAGCCATGCAGTCGCCTCTGGCTGACCGCCCCAAAACCGCTAACAAACGCCAAATTCCTGTGTCCCATTCCCAGTTTACAAACTGCCGACCCATTTACTGGCCACCACGGAGACGCAGCACCAAGTGGAGGGTGCTCTCCTTCTGGATATTGTAGTCGGATAAAGTCCGACCATCCTCCAACTGCTTGCCGGCAAAGATCAACCGCTGCTGATCAGGCGGGATACCCTCTTTGTCCTGAATCTTGGACTTGACGTTGTCGATCGTGTCCGAAGATTCTACTTCGAGCGTGATTGTCTTGCCCGTAAGTGTCTTGACGAAGATCTGCATACCGCCACGGAGCCGGAGAACCAAGTGCAGGGTGCTCTCCTTTTGAATGTTGTAGTCAGACAAAGTCCGACCATCTTCCAATTGCTTGCCAGCGAAGATGAGACGCTGTTGGTCGGGTGGAATACCCTCCTTGTCCTGGATCTTCGACTTCACGTTGTCGATGGTGTCTGAAGACTCCACCTCCAACGTAATCGTCTTGCCAGTCAGGGTCTTGACGAAAATCTGCATACCGCCACGCAGACGGAGGACCAGGTGCAAGGTGGACTCCTTCTGAATGTTGTAGTCGGAGAGGGTGCGGCCGTCCTCGAGTTGCTTGCCGGCGAAGATGAGACGTTGCTGGTCCGGGGGGATGCCCTCCTTGTCCTGAATCTTCGACTTTACATTGTCGATAGTATCCGAGGACTCCACCTCGAGGGTGATGGTCTTGCCGGTGAGGGTCTTGACGAAAATCTGCATGCCGCCGCGGAGGCGAAGGACAAGGTGGAGAGTGGACTCCTTCTGGATGTTGTAATCAGAAAGAGTACGGCCATCCTCAAGCTGCTTGCCGGCGAAAATTAGGCGCTGCTGGTCGGGCGGAATGCCCTCCTTGTCCTGAATCTTCGACTTGACATTATCGATGGTATCCGACGACTCCACCTCAAGGGTGATAGTCTTTCCGGTCACTGAATCCACAGTTAGCATCTGTATGATGGCAGGAGATTACGAACGGCGCAAAGAACTGTGGTGACTGCGACCGGCGACCACCCGGGAAACTTACAAGTCTTGACGAAGATCTGCATCGTGGAAGTGCTTGTCGATAGTTTGTGCTGAGAGATGGGTTCGAATTTTATCGGGTTTCAAAAGATGCCTTTTTATGGCGAGGATAACAAGTCGAAGGTTGTTGATAGAAGGGAAAGTTGTGGAGGAGTGAAAGAAGGCGGGTGGAAGTATTAAATAGGTTGGCAAGCAGGTTGGGAGGGGTCAGGCTACCGCCGGAGCGGGGTGGCTGTGTGATGCGTCAGGAAGGCGCAAAGCCGCCAACTGGCCAGTGCAGCGGTAGGGAAGGACAAGGAACCCACCAGAACGGGCCAGTCAGGCGGGCCGTTGCAGTGGGGCAAAGCGAAGGCAAGTGGCCAGCCTTGTTAGCCCACTTCTTGCCACGGTCACTGCTGAATCAGCTGGCGAAAAGGTTATCCCAGCGTTCAATCTCCAAAACCGGCAAGAATAATAGAATAATATTGTACCGCGAGTTAGACCGGCTACCGGCTGCTGTCCCTGCCTTTAACCTCGTTCACAATGCAGCTAGGTGTTTGATCGCTTCAACATTGACAGACTCGCCTGATCCTTGCCAGGAGCGGTCTCAGCTCCCGGCTCTCCCCGCACTTATCTGATAAGCCGGCCTTGTGACGTGGTCGGTCAAGCTAGACATGCAACATCAGCCCAGCTACCTACCCAAATTCCAAGCTTTTCATCAGAATTTGCTCAATACCTGGCCCGGATCAGGTTGAGGACGCCTCCAGGGTCCAGATTATAGCCGCTGGATTCAAGTGAACTCCGTGCCTACCAGCTAAGGTAGCTCCCAACGGGCCGGTCGGTGTCCCGGGGCCAGCCAGATACAGGTCGTGGCCGAGCTGGCGCCGAATAGTATCTGTACTGTGCGCTGCTCATAGGGTTAAACTTGCTACGTACGAATGTAAAATGGATAGCGAGCAAGCAGTACATAATACCATCGACTGTCGATGCAATTGGACATCTTAAGACTGCGTAACTGGGTACTCCCCGTCATAGCCGAGAACCTGGAATCCAGACCTTCAAAGCGCCAGGCAGTACTCCATAGCCGCAACTTACCTAGTGGATTTCAGCTCAGGTGAGGACAGGTCCAATCGCTTTTTCAATCGCA